AATTACGTGTCTGTATCATCAGACTTCCGTTTTTTGTATAAGACAAAGCTTGAATTGTTTCCGCTTTCTTAAGCGCTTTCTCGCGACGCGATCGAAGGAAAGAAATCATAATTAGCAATGAGTTCGTCCGACGATGGAATATTTTTTCTTTTCTATCATTCCGACTGAAATTTTTCTGACATCGGTGTCAAGTAGCAAATACTAACTGATTCATGTTCGCTTTCACGTGGCTGTTGAATTTCAAAGGTACTTAATGACGAAGTGAAGACAAACAGCGTGAGAACGAATGTAATCGCATGATAGAAAATCATTACGATAAGCTTTGGTGATATACTTCATGATGGCTTCAAATCACGTTTTCGCATTAATTTGCATCGCATTAATAAGATTACAGGTTTGCAACGAGAGTCTGCATTTCCATCTTGTGTCTCACGGAGGTGAAACTCCATAAAAGTACTCGGTATAGGTAGAGAAATTATATTGGCACACGACACAGATTCACATGTTGAAATTCAAATCTTTTTCGAATAGTTTCTGCTGATAATAATGATGATATTCTATGTTATCCAAGATAACGAAAGAGCGAGACTGATGAAGAACGTGACGTGTTACGTAATACATAAACCAGATATAACACTATTAGTTACTCATTTGCATCATACGAAGGCATGATCTTTCTAAGTAACAGAAGAAACATTTACGCGAGCATGAGTTGTACAGAGTGTTATCGTGAGTGATAACATAGCATGCATTTTTGTAACAAACATCTTATAGACACACATGTACACACACACATGCAAGTACATTCTGTACGTGATAAAAATATTAGCCGACGTGTGCTATTCTTTCGACACGGAAGCGCTGATTGCGTAGCATCCCATACCGGGTAAAAATAAACGAGCATACCGTGGAATTGCGTTAGAATGAGTATATATACATAGTTTTTTTTACGAGGTAAAACAAAATTCATACTTTAGCTAAAAACCTGCACCAATTAATTTAATTTAATTTAATTTCATTTCATTTCATTTCATTTTATTTACCAATTAATTTATATTAAATGGATATTAAATAGTATTAAATGGATTTAATTTAAGGAATCACTTTTTCTTATTACCTAAAAATATTTACTTTCCTAAAATTTCCAACAGTCTAAGATTCTTGTTCACTCATCATTACTATCTTATATTGCAACGTCGAAGCGAGAAAATATGTAATAAAAATTTTTGCAAAATATATAATATATATGCAAAAATATATATTTAATATAATATAATATTATAAAAACAACATAATCGATAAAATCGACTCGTATGATATATTGAACTTTTCTTTTGTAAACAATAATAATCTCATTTTTAGACCATACATGTGAGAACACAATCGATAAATTGGAACCCTATATCAGTCGAAGCTAAATCTTTAAATGCTTAAATAATTCAATCTTGAATCACTAAATATACTATATATGAACTTGCATATATACTATATTTGTAGTCCTACAAACTGCGCGCCGAAATATTTCCGGACTATAAACGCAATTAAACTACTTGTAGTAATCTCGCGAATTAAATTAATTTCTAATGATTTCGATGCTCAAACAGACATATTCTAAAGATGTTAATATGCTGAAAAAACTGTAATTAAATTTATTGCGAAAAATATTACATCGGCCGGGAGTCGAATCCGGATCTCTTGTATTCCGTACGAGCGTCCTAAGCTGTTAGATTATCGAGGCATTTTTCTTTTGTAAAATAATCATGTATCTGGAAATTAATTATACTTAACCAAAATTGAAATAAGTTATGGTCACAGCTATGACACAAACCGTCAAATTAATAATACATAAAAATAAATATAATTTTATTTCTTCCCGAAAACAAGAAAATAGTTTTTGGTATATTTGATAAATCTACTCTACCGATTGCAAATGTTGTTTTATATATTGAAATATATTTCTATTCAAATATAATTTACAAGAGCTTTTATTGTGTTGTCTCATTTCTGACATCACAATCTGAGATAATAAAGGCCATGGCACGCAAAAAACGCAAGGCGCTGTAGATGTAAGCAATAAGAAAATCACAGAGTCATAAAACAATAACGTAAGCAGTAACCGAGGGGTCAATCAACTAAAAAAGAAATACAGTAATTGCTAATTATGGCAATACAACACACTTTATTGCTAGCATTGCTATTATATTATTAGTATTGTTTTTCTATATATTGCCACTTATTGCGCACATATTATCAAATATTGTTAATATATTGCTCAATAAAAAAAATACAGTGATTGCTAATTATGGCAATACAACACTTTATTGTTAGCATTGCTATTATATTATTAGTATTGTTTTTCTATATATTGCCACCTATTGCGCACAATCAAATATTGTTAATATATTGCTATGTATTGCTATATATTGCTAGCATACTGCTAACATTGCCTATTTTATTACTGTACTCTGCCGCAATATATTTCTAAAGAAATGTACACTAATTATCACAATCGTTGACCACTCAGCATTAGTAAATTCGAAATGTTGATTTGCTTATTGCTTACATCTTACTACTTAAGTTTTGTTGTGTACCATAGCTTTAGGGTCATTAACATGTTAAATTTATGATTATGTTATGATCTTATAGTATCTCTACTGTGAGTGATCAATTCGCTTGCCGTTTACATTTTACTGCTTAAATGTTTTGTGTGTCATAGCTTTAATGTTGAGTGAACAGGAAAGCCTTAAGCAAAATTTTTTTTACAAAATTTAATCGAACAGCTATTGCCAATATAAGCGTAAGCAATTGGTCTGGCTGCCTGTAATTGGTATTGACTAATTAATTATTTTTAAACAAAATACTGTTTCATACTGATATCAAAATAAATGCAATTAACAGTTGTTTGGCAAGCGACTCCGACTTCGTTCTCATTAACTTCGCTAAATGAATGTTGCGAATGTTTCGAAACTGATTCATAATTTTTTTCTTTGAATTAATCATCTGTGAACTTTACATGTTTACTTTTCTCTCATGACCCACATTATCTTTTACTACATGAATCTATTTTGAGCAGACAAATACGTGAAACGTTTAGATAATGATTATTGAACTTTTACATGGATATGATTTCAGCAATGTTACAAAAATTATTGAGATAAAAATTTTATTTCATTCTAACTTTTATTTGATAAGCATTATTATGTAGTATTTCGTATGTACTCTGATTATTATAATATCATTTCCTGTTATAACCACTTTAAACAAGCGATTCGTAATATTCGCTGAGTATTCCTTAACGAATTCAAACAAAAGCAATCTGTTACCCCAAACATTTCTCGTAAGAAAACAGGCATTATACTCATTCGAAAGTAATTACAATTAAATAAGTAAATGCTGATACATGGAAATATTTGTCACAAACTTCGCATAACATGTAAAGTATATAAATAAAAAATAGTATAAATAAAAAAATAATATAAATACAACCTTTAAAGTCTAATTTATGACATTATATTATAGACAAATCTTTTTATCATTCATGTTTATCTCAATAAATTATATATATTGCTGCAACCTTTAAATGTCATGCAAATAAACATATAAATAAAAAATAACTGCAACTCGAATCTTATTTACAGCATTATATTTGTAAAGTAGGCAATGCTTTTTATTACTCACGTTTATTTCAATAAATTACACCTATCATAACTATGCCAAACAAAATATTAACAGTATACTAGCAATTTGTTGTCAGTAGATTCGGACAGAACAATATGGCAGCAGATTGTTATACGGAAAGAATGGTTTTGCTGAAGTATCCAAGTGTCTGAAAATAATCTTGTTGAACCATCAAAATAATTATATAGAATGCTCAAATTAGTTGTTAGAATATAAAAACTTTTTTGAGCATTGGTCATCATGCTTAAGTTTTCTATATAATTATTTTGATAGTCCAATCAAATTATTTTCAAATCTAGCTAAATCTATAGGTATTTCAGCACAAAATTCTTTCTGTGCATCAACCGCATTAGGTTTGCCTTCCTTCATACTAGCGAAATTTTTTGACAATCCTTGATAATCTGACAGCAGATTGCTACAACAGAAACACCAGTCTATTATTTTAAGACCATTTGAATGATGTATTGAAACGATTAATATTAAAATGGCAGATTTTATTTAATTACAATAGCAGTAAATCTGCCATTGTATTTTATTAATGGATCTTTTTATATTTTTGCTGGCATTTTGTCGACAAAATTTACAGCAGGTAGAAGATATATTAATTATCTGGGTATGATGATAATAATCTTTCCCATTAACTCATAGTAGGAACACAAATTTTTTAACACTAAAGGAACATACGGATTCTTGGAGAACCCACTATAAAGCTTTTAATATTATTTATTTATTTTAAGAATTTTTTAAAACTATAAAAAATAAGATTATGAAACATAAATTATTCTAAATTACTATTTAAAAATTAGGAAGAATTCCAGGGTCACCAGAATCCAGTTCCAGTTATGTGTTAATTACAGTCAACATTAATCAAACAATTTTCGCGCACAAATAAAGTGTATCTTTATCCATATATTAACATCCCCCATCCTTCTACATCATTATAATCTTTTCATTACACCAAACAGACAGATCAAGGAACTAAAAATGCAACGCACACATATATTTTTATCATTGTATGTTTTTATATGTAATTTTTTAATTTGACGCACGATGTTCAAGATTAAGGACCATGTTTTTTAATATTTTTTAAATTTAGTTATTCATATTATGACGTATAATATGAAATATTCAGTCAATAAGGTAACGACAGCGAGTCACACGCCCATGCTGGAGCATCGTCGGGCGTCCAGCATGAACCTAACCTCACTTTCGCGGCTATTTCGGGTTCGAAATTCACGAAGGTCTTATTTTTTGGACGTCGACAATCGAAGCGTTTAAAAACGGTCGTATGAATAGTGTGAGGAATGAATTTTCATACTTACGGCTCGGCGATGACCGGTGCGATCTTGAGCACCGTCGTCAGGAAGGACTGATCCTTGCAGACGAGGAGGGGCTTCTGCGGCGCGCTGTTTACGTTCAGTATCCTGAACAGGATGCACAGGATCACGGCGAAGAGGGCCAGCAATGCCGTGGACATCTTTCTTCAGCGCCTGAAAGAAGTATAATCTTCTGTCTTTCTCGCTCTTTCTCTCCTCGGACTTTTACTCTCGACTTCCTTAAAAGTACCGCTCCTCAAACACGTTCCTTCGCCGATCCTTCTTCAAAAATAAACATTATGCTTTTCTCACAATGATATCACGCGTGTTATCTTTGGGGACGCTCGCAAACGTGACACAATTAATCATACCTCTTCCTGGAAAAGGAGATCGGCTGTATTCCTCTTTAGATTTCGAAGGCCGATAAGACGGACGAGCTGCGACGGTCGTGGATGGTGATTCATGCGATTGATGCTTCGTGACCTGCGAACAAAAGTTACACCGTTTTATTAGGATTCCGGTTATAGGGCTCGGATGACAGGTACATGACGGATGAGTACTGGATATGCAGAACGACGCGAGTGCCGGGGAGCGCTGCAAATTGACTGCAGAAGTGCACGTCTCGCGCGATCGAGGATGCATCCTGACCTCCACAAAGGGTATCGGCGCCGGTAATGAATCAGGCGAAAATTGATCGCGTTACATCGTTTTGCATGCCCGGTCCCGACACTCCCGACTCCCGGCTCTCGTCAGTGCAGCGGGAATGGCGAGGGTTATATCGACGATACGAAAGATCGATAGCGGCAGATAAACTTGGCGATATCGCGCGTTTCTTCGACTTTAAGAAAAACAAGTGGCGATAACGTTAAAATGAATTATTAACTGATTGAAGAGTGAATTTTAAGTAATCGTTTTAAAACACTTTGACGTTATTTTGATGTCAGGAGACCTGCTTTGGGCAATTAATCAATGTTCACTTCAAGAAATATAAGTTTACAAGAAGTTTTTTTATAAGTATAAGTTCCTCGAGATATTTATTTACAGCGAAATCGATCGCTTGCAGTACATTAGATTAGCATACTAAAAACTGGAAAAAGAGTGGCATTTAATTGAGATTCTGGTTGAAAATGGATAAAGGGTTTTCTGGTTGAACCTATTTATAATTCTAGTTGAAACAAGAATTCTAATTGACCTAAATCTTCTAGTTCGTTAATTCATTTTCTAATTTTTCAGAAATTTTTCTCAGTACGCTATATATAAAATTAGCAAAGTTAAATGTAAAAATATATAAATATTTTAAACAATTAACAATTAAAAAAAGAAAGGGCTAGAAACCAAATAGGCTCGTGAAATTATTTTAATTGTAAATTTGAAATTATTTAAGCCCGAATCCAATGACTTTATGTTTTAAACAATTAAATATCTAATAATGATATTTCGTTATATATATTTTAGTCGAATATATATGTATTTTATTGTCAAGGCTGATTCAATTATACCACTTAGATATTGTATGTAAAGTAACCTAGGCTTTAAAGTGCATTATTCGAACGATCGAATTCACCATTAATGTTAGCAATTAATGCAGGGATTAAAAATCGAAATACTTTTATTAACAACTACATACCGGTATCAACCTCTATTCAATAATAGCGGTATACGAAAAATTGAGACCAAATACCGGTATTGGACGTCAAATAATTTAACCGAAATATGCTTATACCGGTATTATGAAAATTTCGATTGAATACCGGTATTTGATCTTGATTTTTCATATACCGCTATTATTGAATAGAGGTTGATATCGGTATATAATTGTTAATAAAAGTATTTTGGTTTTTAGTCCCTGATCTTATTGAATACCGAAAAATATCGGTATTTTTCATATCGTTATAAATCCCTGAATTAATACATGGAATATGTCAAATCTATGCGCATTTTTTTTGTCGAACGATGTATGTGACTGGTTCAATGATCATTTGTTCAAGCTTTGCATTCGAATATCTCTTTTTTCACGGCGTAACGATTGTTTTTCGTCACTTACGAAAGAATTTGCTTCATTTCGAGATCTCGTCTTGAAAACTTGAAAATCGAAGTATAACACTGATTAATGTCAACGCCCGTTAATTATTAATTCCTCTTTTCGAATCAACGCAACGTTGGCAGCACTTTAATGAAGCCTGCTCCTTCGTCTAGTCTTGGGTTTAACAGAGAGAGAAAACCTACGGATAGCGACAGTAAAGGCCATCACACATACAAAAATTTTAGTCGTAATCGTAAGGCCGTAAGCAAATCGGCCAATCACAGTCGAGCGTTTTTAAACGCGAGATCGTAATTTTGATTGTGATTGGTCGATTTACTTGCGACCTTACGATTATGACTAAAATTTTTGTACGTGTGATGGCCTTAATAAAGGAATAGATACACTAAGAAAAAGAAGTTGTTCATTTGTCTAAATTGATTTAGTTCGTCCTTATGTCTTTTAATGAAAAATGTATTTTAGTCACACATATTATATTTGACTTAAATACATGCATTCTCCAACGAAAGAAATAAAAACAAGTAAATTAATTTAATCAAATAAACAATTAATTTAATCAAATGAACAATTCTTTTATCTCAGTGTACAATTCTCTTCCTAGGGTGCGGTCAAAGAATGCGTTTCGTTCCACGTATGATGCATATGTAATATGTCATTTTATCCTCCTTTAATATTCAGTGAACAATTAACAGGATAAAACGATAAATTATGAGCATCATACGTGAAACGGAAAGCATCCAAAGTCTCACTACAAATACTTTGAAGCATTTGATTGACTAATCAGAAGGAAGAATTTTATGAATTGACTAATCAAAGAAATGCTTCAAAGCATTTGTAAAATCACGTTGACGTATTCCTTAGTTAACACCTATAAAGAATAAAAGACGAATAAAGTTGATCCATGTTTTCCAAATTTTTCTTGATGCTAAAAAATGTTTACAGTGATCGCTAATGAAAATGAACAATTCTGAAATAAAATCGCATCTCGTCTCGCTTTTCTATATACTTGGGTGATCGAACGGAACGAGAAAACGTTGTGAAGAGACGAAGGGCTGTAAGTATCGCTCGCTTTTCCGAGAATCCTGCTCACCGGGTGACGGTCCAGTCGGCGAAGGGTCGTACGCTGAAGGTACGGTTGAAGGTACGACGTGCCCAGGATATGAGTTCCCGTGCGGCCGGCACGTTCAGCTTGCCGGCGCTTCGCGGAGCAGATGGCTCGAAACGCTCAGACACGCATCACATATCCGTTCGCGTCGAACTCCGCCGGGCGACTGCGGGCGACTGATCACAGACAAAGTGAGTATGTGTCAACCGACATCTGTATGCGCTCGCGACAAACACGCCGTTGGAGCGAAGGGACTTGGCGTTTCCCCGTAATATACCTCTATAGAATACTCCTGTAATATTAAAAAAATATTTATGATATTTTCGAAATATTATAATAACATTATTTTAATTTTTTTTTTAATAATATTCATGTAACATTCTAGGAACATTTTGCGCTTATAGGGTATATGCATATTATGTATATAATATAATAATCTGGTATTGTATGTACAATGTAATATTAAATTACAGTCACCTTGATTGACTCCGATTAACTCCATAATAATTAATTTATCAAGCAATATATATACCTACATATATTATCTTATCTTAACAACATGGATCGAACAATTAATTTCTCGCTTAATAGATGGAAAGAAAGATTAAAGATTGCAGACAAATTATATAATTAAAAATTCTGCTAAAGGGAATTTTGATTGAATTAATTACTGATAAAATATTAATCAGAGTTCCGTCGAAATCGCTCTATTTATACACTTATTCTTTTCATTTGATATATTTTTTTGTTACATCATTTAACACTTTTGATGCTTTCAGCCGAATTTGTAGTATTTTCCCCGGTCTTATCCGGAACGTAATACGTATTCGTAATTCTTCACGGTTTTCAACTTCTATAATTATATTCAGGCTTTCAGTCAAGGGACGAGGGGGGCAAAAATTCATCTTCAAACAACATTTATTAAAACATATGTGTATATATAATGTTAAAGCTATAAATTTTCGAGGATCTTCAGGGAATTTTTTAATACTTCTTCTTTCAGCTTCTATTCTTTCTCTCTCTCTTCTCTCTCTCGACGTAAAAATGATTTTAATAAATTATTTCTTATCAAAATTTAGGAGTAATGCTCTCTGCCTCTCCCTTTTGTTAGTCCATGCCTATAACTATTAAGCATTTAATGTTAGATCTTATTTGTCAAAATAGATTTAATGAGACGCATTCAACCTGTAACTGAATTCGAAGGAATTTAAATAGATCGAAGTACTCAAATTTGATGCTTTGAAATTTCTTAGAGCGAGCGTTTGAATTGTTGTCGAAGTTTGAGGTATCACGTAGCCAGTACGTGTATAAATTTCATCTCGAGGTTTGCGACAAGTACATATTTGAAGGCAAGTTCACACCCACAAATTCGCAGGTCGACGATTCAAGGCTTTCCCCACGTGTGGTGAAAACATAAAAATCGCTTGTCGAAACTCTCCTCGCATCGACCATCACTCAATGAATTTAATAATTATTCAAAATAAATACAAACCTGTTTTAAATCTTAATGTTTCGCAAGGATTTTTAGGAACAAATGTCTTTTTCAGCAATTTTTTTTATTGTATAAATTAACTTTGTGTATAAAAACTATTATTAATTAAAACTAATGTTCCGATTATATGATCCTTTTTATAAGATACATTCCTGATTTATCATTTATAAAATTGTCATTTTTTTTCTCGGAATCTCGATAAAGTAATCCGGAATAACATATGATTGAAAAAACATTTAAAGACAGATTACATAAGAATCGAGCTCCCGAGGCTGAATATCCTGTTTGACAAAAAAGCTGACATTCAAGTTTTTCATAAAGTCTTACAAACATCCTGCTTCGTATGGCCTTTCAGATTAATTCCGACGAGTTAGATTAGCGATAGATGAACTTATTGATGTAATTGTTACAAGTTGATATGGCAACGCGAGTTATCTCTTCCGGTTTTAGCCAGGAGCCTGGCTTTCTACCACGAGAATACGGCGAAACTGCAGTGTGAAATTAATTGAATAAATTTGAACATCGGTAATTTTAGTATTAAAGTTAGCAGTGAACAATATATACTTGTTGCAAAATGTGATAGACTTTTATTATTAATAAATTATCGTTTTTAATAGATTAGAAATATTTAATGTTGATTTGTTTCTCGAGGCTTCATTAATCGACTACAATGGCAACGGGTAAAAGTAAGAAAAAGGCTGGAACGAAGACAAACGGAAAAAATAATGGAAAAGGTACTAAAGGTGGCAATGGCGGTAAAAATAAAGGATCAAAGAAATCGAGAAGAAGCGGCGGAAAAGCACGATTTGCCATGGATATCTTTAACGAGGAAGTGATGGAAAACGCTTATTACACATGTCACAACATCATGGATGTGCTAAAATGTCGAGGTTTCCCGTGGCCAGAGGCTCAGAAGAAAAAAGGAAAGAGGAAGAAATAAATAGTCACGCAAATATCAATATGTAAAACTATACTTTTAAAACATATTGGAAATAATTCAATGTAATTTATCTTATTAAAACGAATCTTATTAAAGCTATCTTATTACAGCCTTTATATTTCTACGCTTTATATTTTTACGTTTCCTGAAAATATAAATTAGTTTCACAAACTTTGCGCACTCACTATATACATACAAAACTAAAAATAAATTTCTGTAACTCGGTGAAACTTTATCTTCGTATTTACATAAAGGATAAGATATCAATTTTTATAACATATTAATAAACTGATAGAAAAAAAACACGTGACTTCTATTCATCAGATGATGCGAGATAATTGCAGTAATCCTCCACATTGAATTCGAAATCATCATCATTCGCGCCAACTGTCCCGTTAAAAACGCAATGCACCGTTACTGTCTCAGCATATGATAACTTAGGCAGAAGCTGTTAGAGAACAACAAGATTAATAAAAGTTATAGCATAATAGAAAATTATTATTGTTATTGTTACGCTTACTTTCGGTGTGAGCAAAAAATATTGGGAACTGCCTGGTCTTCCTGTCATTTTAACGAGTAAATCGAAGACCCGTCTCTCGTTTACCGCATCCATACCCTAATAAAATTACGAAGAAAAATTTAAATTGCAAAAAATAACGAATAATATATTACAAATTACATATGTAATACATTATATAAATATAGAATACTTGCTATTAGTGATTGACATAAGATGGATATCTCGTACCTGATTAATTTCATCCACACAGCGAAATGGCACACGCGATAATTCTTGCAGCGCTATCATATAAATGGCAGTAGTTACAGTTCTTTCCCCACCACTCTGAAAATGCCTTGTTAATTCTTGCAATTCGTCCGCATCTCGGAATTTTACTTTGATCTTTAGTCCGTACTGATCAAAATCCAACTAAAAATATATTGTTATTGAGTTATTGAGAACAATGGAAGAATTTTTATTTTGCATATGTTTATACTTACATCATATGTTTATACTTACGATATTTTCACCATGTGAGAGTGTAACTTCGCCAGCACAGTCCATTGCAAAAAAGTAAGAACTAAAATTCGCGTTAATTTTTTCAGTCAGTTGCTGCAATGGTTGTAACCACTTTTCTTTTAATGTCTCAATCTCCTTTGTCATTTGCTCTAATAAAATACTCTTCTTTTTGATAAATTCAGTTAAGTCGTGAATATTATTTTGCATTTCTTCATATTCACGCAGTATCTGAAAATATAAAAGAATTATTCAATTTCTTTGTTGTATCAATGCAGTGTTAAAAAGTAATATTCTCCATCATGTACATACATTCTCGGCGTCCACATTTTGTGCCATACAAAAAACTTTTGCTTGAGCAACATTTAATTCATTATTTATTTCAGCTATAGTAGCTGGTAATTTTTCAAAAGCTTTATTGAAAGCTTTAAACGCGTCATCTTGTGGACTCATATTATCTGTGCTTGTCAATGCTTCCTTATATAGTCTTTCAGCTTCTTTCTTTAAAGGTTGAAATTCTTCATCATGTCTTTTAAATACTCTCTCTGCTATTATAAACTTATCCTTTAATTCTTCGGCTTCATTCTCTTTAAACAATAAAGTTTGTTGTAATAACGTTATTGCAAATTTGACCTCTACGTTACTTGTATTGCAATTGAAATATTCTTGCAGAATTCCATTGTATTCTTTATACAGTTTTAATTGTTTCTTTATAATGGCCTGTAAACAATTAATTAAATATAAATGCAGATTTCATTGGACAATTTTTTAAAGATAGCATGTTAAAAAAAAAACAAAAAAACCTTAATCTCATTGGTATATGTTGCTTTTATATCATCAATATTCATCCGGCCCATTTCCAACTGTCTAATTTTATTTTCAGCTATGTGTATTCTACTTTTTAATGCTTGAATATGCTGAACATTTTGTTGGCATTTATTCCTGTTGGCTCTATATTCATCTAATGCTTTCGTTTTCAAATGTAACTTTTCTTCTATTTCTTTAATATTTATCGAAATTTCATTCTTCTTTTCTTGTAAATTTTGTAATCTATAATATAATCAATATATTAATATGTTAATTCATTATAATTTATCTATTTTCTTATTTAATTAAAATACCGTTCTTGAAGATTCTGTAGTTTAGATTTGTCCAGAACAATAGATAGCATTCCATTTCCATTAATTCGTGATATTCTGGTCGATATTTCGCGCGTATACTTAGATGTACTTACAGAATATATATTACTTTCTACAAAGAAAATTTTATTGAATTTATGGAAAATTTGTAATTTTATTTTTAGGAAATATACACTCACCACTAAAGTAACAATTTAAGCTGCGAGGTATGTAATTTGTATTATTCTCGATTTCATTAGTCCCGATAGGGATATTATTTAAACGATACATCGAGACTAAATATTTCAGTATGGAGGATGGTACTTCGATAAGCTCTGCTAAATAATGCTTGAAGCCAAATTTTTGTATGTTTTCTATCGGGATATTCGGTTGCAATGTGACTCTTTTCATTGGATCAGAATGTACTACATTAACTTTCAGTTTTTGTTGTTCTCTCAAATACTTAAGTAAAAGATTCATATCTTTTTTATCTTCACATGTAAATGCAATTAAATCTCGAAACGGTATTATGCTTTCTAAATATTTGGCGTATAAAGACTCTTTTACATTAATATTGAGTAACATTGGCAGATGCACTGTTGCTGAAAATTTGTCTCGATTCTCTTTTAACCAAAGTACAGCCTTGTATGCGTTCATATCCTTTTGTTTCAGCAGTTCTAATCGTTTAGCATCAATATTAATTGTTTGAAGTTCCGCTTGCACAGCTACAATCATAATTTTAATTAACATATTTAATAATATATTAAATAAAAATAATAATCAATATTAAAAATATAATACACTCAACAGCAAAATTAAGGCATCACCTATTTAGTTTCAAAATAGGCAAATTTCAAAACAGTATAACTTCGTCAAAAATCATCGTATCAAGATGTTTAAAAAAGCATTTGACAGCTTTGAAATCTTTACTTTCGCGAACGGTAATTGAGATTTCGATTTGACTGACATTTTACGGAGCTATACGGATATAAATGGAAATCCTAAAAAGTCAAAACTAAAAATTTTGAACGGACTTTACAAAGTTCCATCGTCTAAATTAAAAATAGTAAACAAATTTTGTTTACAGCTTTCGAAAGAGTAAATCTTTATCTTTAATTTGCTTTTTTATGAAACTTTGTACGATTTTTTTTCGCCGAGTTATTCAACATTGAAGTAAAAGGGGTCATTTTGCTTCAATATTGAATAATTCCGTGAAAAAATATCGTACAACGTTCGATAAAAAACTAAATTAAAGGTAAAGATTCACGCTTTTGAAAGATGTAAACCAAATTTTTATGTGATTTTTAATTCACATCATGGAACTTTGTAAACTTTTAAAGGATCATCGAATTTTTGCTATGAAGATTGTCGATATTTGTAACTGTGGTAACGTTGTGAAAAAAATTTGTAAAATAATCTCCATAGGCTCTCTTCTTCATTTTTAAGGGAAAAGATTCTACTTTTAATTTTTAAAATTGATTTTCCTTCAAGATGCCTTTACACTAGAAAATTACCGTTCGAGAAAGTAGAGATTTCAAGCTGTAAAATGCTTTTTTAAACATTTCGATACGATGATTTTTGACGAAGTTATATTGTCTTAAAGTTTGTCTATTTTGGGGGAGTAAAATAGGTAATGCTTTAATTTTGCTGTTGAGTGTATATAGCTATTTGTGTGTAAGCATATACCTCTCATTTCGCGACTAATGTTTTCGTCCTCATGCTTTAATGTGATATTTTTATTGTTGATATTCTTAATTCCTTTTCTATGCTCCTCCATATTAGACGCTATATTTTGCATTTGTTCCATTAAACTTGCCTCTGAAATATATAATTTTATTATTGTAGGATGACGTATCCGTATGTGAAAGTAATTAACTCGACGAGTTTTGAGTTCGATCCCGACCTCTATACCGCATATGCTTTGATTTATATATTAATTGAAAAATTGGACATTTATAAAAGAAGTTAATAAATAAAAGAAGCACGAGATGAATTTCAGAAGCAATGATCAGTTTTGAAAACGATAAATCGATATGTGTATTTTGTTATATATATACATATTATTCATTAAAATTAAGTCAAATCAATAATTACCTGATCCCATTTCATTAATTGTAAGAGAAAAATCGTTCTCGAGTTTGGATTTCTGTTGTTGTGCAAATTTAATATCTTGATCTCGAGTCTGTTCTGCTTGAATCTTTCGAGAACGTATGTCTTCTGCATCCTTGATGCTGTTTTCAGAGTTAAGAATCTCATTCATGATGTTTTTTAATTTCGCATTCTTAGCATTAACTTTATTGTTCTGAAAATACACAACAAAAATTTCAGAATATTAATGTAATATGTATATAGGATGTAATTCTTGTGACAACATTCAAATGCAAAGAAGTTGAATTGATTGTGAGTAGAAAAATTTTATATTATTTCGCGATTTTCTTTAAATAACAACGTGTCATTAGTACACAGCCCTTTTTGTATAATTTTTTACAGAATGCCGCTCCTAAACCTCATTGAGCGTTTAAACCATAAACGCTAAAATTTCTTGTCGTTGAGTCGTATAAATTCACGCTAATTTGCAGATCTTTATAAATTAATTTCTCATTATTACGAAAATCGCAAACTGATACAGAATTTCAGTTTAATCTGCTGTGTTTGCACTCGAGCATTATCACAAAAATATATTACTGGACATCCTGTACATTAATATGTACCATCAATAATATCATAATAAAGTATTTTTTAAATAATATTTTTATTTTATGTGCTATACTCACATGATCCTTTAAAGAATTTTTTAACGTTGTTATTTCAGACTTTATTTTTTCAATCTTTTTATTTAACGGTTGCAGTTCTTTGTCTATTAATTGCATTT